ATATTATATAATACAAACAGATAATTAAATGATAATCATAAATTAACTAAATTATAAAATTATTATTTAATTATATATAGATAATAATATATATAATAACTATAATTTGCAGCAAAAAAAACTACCCACGGGCAAAGCCAGGTTATTCAGCGAGTATTATTCAAGTATTGGCAATACAATTTAAACTATTATTATTATTATAACATCATACTTTTGTTAGCTTTTTGCCTACAAGTAATGTGTTGTTTTCATGAAAGAAACCATAGGTACACTCGTCTTCTTTGTCTTGGATCAGATCAAATGGATAAAAATTGATCGGGAGTCCGGTATTATCAGGGATCATTTAAAATTAAAAAAACATAAATTAATATTATTTGATATTAAATTTGAAAAATAAGTAAGTTTTTTATTGCTCCCGAACAATTTGCAAAAAGTGGAGCTTTCAGGTCGTCTCACCAAGCTCTACGTATAAGCCCGTATAACTTATAAGTATAAAACAGCGGTCGCCGACCTTTTGGACCTTGCGGACCGCGTATAGCTTATAATAGCTTTTTACATAAATACCGTTCCACTACTGATACATTTTAATACACCAAATTAATATAAAAAAGTACATACGTAAAATACTAAAACAGGGTTTTATTTTTATTTATGACGAAAGTTTTAAGTTTTAATTAAATTTTAATGTGATATTTGTTCCTGTTTGTTTTGAAGAATTTCATGTAATTTTGACTCCGATGTAGTCACAGCAAGTCGTAGTCGTAGAGCTTTGCTTATTTCTAGCTATTTTTCCTGGGACCACCTACACATTCTCGCGGACCACCGCACCGGTTGGCGACCGCCGGTATAAAATATACTAATTATGATGTAATCAATGATCTGCGATGTCAGCCGGCAGCAGGTAATGGGTGTAGATAGGTGGGTGTCATATTTTGTATTGCGCGGGGAAATATGCTGTTACAAATTAAGGGAGCATGAAATATAAATAGATTATCGTGCAGCCGTTTAACATTTTAATCAACATGTCCTTCTTTATTGCTCTCCGCCGTGAAGGATTTTAAGTGTTTTTATTCAGAAGTAATTGCAAATAATAGAGTTAAATTATTGAAATGATGACAGGAGTCAAGCGTTGGCTGCACCTTTACATTGGCCGTCCCCTACATCGGATAAGGTTGTATTATATTGTAAGCATTTCATTATTATTAGGCGGGCGCGTGGCCATTGATGCTTTATTTAATATCACATATAGGTAATCAAATTATTGTCGTCCACGCCCGTCGATTCATTTATGTATATATTATGCACAGTATTATGACGATGGCGATATACGAACGGGCGGAAAAATAACCCCTCGTGGCGGGATAACTCAATAATTTTACTCTTTGCTGCATAATATAATAGGCATGCACGCCGTGTAATAATATCAAACTATCAAAGAGTATAAATGAACACACGTTATAGTGCGGCAAAAAAAAAAAATGGTCGATCGTAAAAATGTAGAACGTATGTTATTAGTGCACTAATATACATGTATTATTATGGCGGTTTATTGGGGTAAATATTTTTTTTACATAAAAAACACTTGAGCCTAAAAGACACACACGTTCACGATAGTATTAGTTCATCCATTTTAAATCAAACCGGTATAGGTACCTAATGTATGATGTATCACTTGTATAAGTACTGAAATGAAAAAGTATTTTTTATTTTAAACCCATTAGAACTGTTTCTTTATTGGTGTGTAAATATGTAATGTATATTAGGATTATATACTAATTATACCTTAGACTTTAGAGTAGATATCAGTTATATACCTAAATAAGACGCTGCGGTGTTCTATGCACAAACACCTAGGAAAATAACATTGATTAACATTGACAAAATGATTAAGTTCTCCCACAAATTATCGATGACGGACTTGATGATGGCAATGATGTGGATATATTATATGAGTTAAGATTTTTAGATTTGTAAGTGAGTTTTTGTCTCTTCAAATTTTTAATGATAAAATACAATGTACTTGTATTTTTAATGATTTTCAGACATTTATTTGGATCAAATTTGAATTTAATAAAAAATAAACATTTACATACGACTGCAGGCGTTGGTTATGCGTATAAATTATATATCAACACACTATCTATTTTTACGAATTGTTTTTAAATGTATAGTAGATAGAATATTATGATTAATAAATAAAATGTCTTGTTTAATATTAAAATAACCAATCAGCTTTTGAAATTTATTTTTACATTTACATAATTGAATTGTACTATGTTATAAATAGTAGATACGAGTAGGTACCTAATAATCAATAATTTAAATAATATTTTAGGTATTAAACGATTATGATTCAATTGTACAAATAATAACGCAGTAGAATAAGATATTCAATACATATAGGTACATTATGTATTTATGTATTGCCGGTTTTACGTTTAAAGTTATACTTATCCTTATAATAATTAATACCTAATATGTATTTATTATACATTTGAGCTATTCAAATATAATGTTAGTTTAATTACAATATAGCGACACATAAAAAATTGGAAGACAAACAATTTTATTGGAAGTGTATAACGCCGAAGATAACATAATATTCGTTTTCTTATTTGTCAGACAACTTTTTGTTTTTTTTTTTACATTCATTACATATTAATATATTATAATATACAACTATATCTAATTATTTAATCTAAGTAGCTACCTAATTAGTAATTAGGCAAATGTTTGAAAATTTAAAATATTATATGAAGTATGGATACGATTGGTTTCTAACTGTTTTTGCACAGTTTAATAATAATAATAATAATAATAATAATAATAATAGATAATAAAAGGTTTTTGGCTTTTAATTAGAAAAATCTTTGTTGTTCGTAATTTCGCTGTACGCTATTTAGCATATGCGAGTGGTCACCGACGATATCTATAATCTCATCATCGGCACCATCGACGTCATCATCGTCGTCCACTTCAGAGACTTCACTTAGGTCGTACCGTTGACTCCTCTCATCGTCGTTGTTAAGCGACCTACTTTGTCGAGCTAAATCCTTGGATTCCTGGATGCCGGTATCACCTAATCCACCGCACACTGATCCTTTAGATGAAAAGTCCACAGGATAATCTGAAGTATACAATTTTCTATGTGTATTTAGCTCAGGTTATGTATATAGCCTATATATACAGGTACTTCAGTACTTGTATTATATTATATAATTGCAATGTGTGACTGACCTGTGGTTAGCGATTTGTTCGCAGCGTTGTCCGCAGGTTTCTCTGATCCAATAACCGCTGTATCGTCATTAACTTTTCGCAATTGTTTTTTGTGTTTCATCCTTCGATTTTGAAACCATGTTTTGACCTGAAAATGGAATGATTTACTACTATAGTGAGTATAATATTACACACTTCTAACTAGTTATGATTTTAAGTACCTAAGTAAATTAAGAATTATTAATCACCTGTGTTTCAGACAATCTCAGTTCGGTAGCTAGTTCAACCCTCTCTGGCGTGCTCAAATATCGTTGTACTTCAAATCTTTTCTCTAGTCCCGTGAGTTGTTGATCGGAAAATACAGTCCGAGCTTTTCGTCTGCGACATAGCCTAGAACTTAGTTGTCCGTGACCGTAATCTGATCGGGCACCCCAAATACTTCCAAAAGGTACTCCTAAAATAACCATATTCACGTTGCATTAATACTATTTCGAAATACAATGTGTATACCAACACATAAAATATACTTCCAAAAATGATTTATAACAATGTCATCGGGCCAGACAAACAATGGAATGTTAAAATCATAATTATATGCATAATAAATACCATTGGAGTATGTAAAAAAAAAAACTTGACAATTGATGAATAATTATATACCCCTTATACCTACGCCTACACATTGCAAGTTTTCATGAGGTTTATGTGCCTATATTTATATAAACTATACTGTGGTTATATAATATTCAGTAGAATTCTCTTAAAACGGTTTTCAAAGGTCCTAGATAATCAGATCGTTGCATCTGAACTTCGTTGTATCCGGAAGACAAACAAATATTGAAGATTAGATAACCAAATATCGTACCGGACTTATAATTGTTGTAAGCGAATAAAAAAACAATTTTTATTTAAAAATAACATCGTTGTATCCGTTATCAGTTGTAACCAATATCCTAATATCCGATCAAAATCGTCTACTTGAGATATTAAACCAACCTAACACGTGGCTGGTAAATCGTTTTATCCGGAATACCGCGTTATGTAAGGCATCGTAATAAGCGGATTCTACTGTATATACATGAGTGAGTATATTAGAATAATAGAATTCGTTAATACAACATTATGATATGGATATCCTACATTCCTACAGTAGTGCTCTGAAGTAAGGCAATCTCTCTTTCATAAAATTTTATTTATTTTAGATTTTGAAAGGATCGACGAATGTATTCAATTTACAATGAAGTGTAGGTATAAGTACGATTTTTTTGTGTCTATCATCACCTTATGAAACATAGAAGAACAACTTCATAGTTCATCTTGGGTTTATGATTGGAAATTTGATTTAGTTACTTGTAGAGGTTTGAAGCAAAAAATACCCAGTCATTTTAAGTTAATCAGAAAACACTGCAGTAAAAAAAAATATGGTAAACAGAAATATTAACACCGATATCAATTTCGACAAATTAAATTAATAAATTCGTTGTAATTCAAAAATTTGTAATTGTAGAGAATTTATGTGCGACAAGTTGGCACCGGCACTATATGCTAGGACCATAATTCTAATATCAAAAAATTGTTGGTAATTTGCTAGTATTTCATTCAAACGTAAATCAAAATTAAAATATGCCGGTGTCAACTTAACGCAGCACCGGCACATTACACGATCGGTTCCAAAGTAGTACCAAAAAATTGCTAGTGAATCGCTAGATTTTGCTAGGTAGTTTTTGTAATTTCCTATACTTTGGTTTTTCCGAAAACCGGTAGATGGAAAATGCCTCAGTACTGTCACATTGCCCGATCGGTTCGAAAGTGGTACCAAAAAATTGCTAGTGAATTGCTAGATTTCGCTAGATGGTTTATACATTTTCAAATTTTTTTTTCTTTACATTATTGTCAAAGTACCTTGTTGAAGATGGGAACATCTGGGAACATCACGACGATCTTAAGAAAAAGACCACACACGTTTCACCTTAACAACTTATTGATCCGTATATCCTAATTTATGTCATTTCGTAAAATCTAATCATAAGATTTTATATAATCATTTCATTTTATCAGTAACAATTTTTATTTTTTAAAAAGTGAAAAGTAACTATCCAGATTAAAACTATTCTTGTCATTTGACAAAATGTATGTTTTAATGATTTTATTTTATTTATGATGTTAAACAAGTGCTAACCTGACAGTACATTTTCACAAGTATATATACCACGTATACGTGGTTGGTGATAAATTGTTGATAACAAACGAAGAATAATAAATCAAGAATTTTGTATTCATTGGCATAAAAAAAATTTAACTTTCCCATAATAATACACGAAACTTGATTTATAACTATATAATCATCACTTTGCACTTTTGGTCTGCAACTAAAATAGAATGATCAGTATTTGAAGATATGATGAATAATTTGACGAATATGTATTTTGTAACACACTTTTGTACCTATTCATTAGTATATACTAACTTAACTTATTAAGTAGTAAAGCATATATATATTTTTTTACTAAGACACACTAATATAAAAAAATCATATGATTTTAGAAAATTCCATAATGAAATTTTCCATATTCTAATTTGCTGAAACATAGACAATCAGAATAAAATATTACTAAGTAGGTACATTTTATGATATTATTGTGATAAAAATAATTTATTTTACTATACAATAGGCATTATAGCACTGTAGTAGGTTGAATTCATTTTTGTGGAAAAAATAAAATAATATAACTAATATATAAGTTTCAAGTACCTATCCATAATTTAAAAAAAAGACAAAAAGACAACTCATATCGTAATTTTCGATTTCGAAATTTGAACTAAAAATAACCGTGGGAAAACTGTGTTTATTATTTTTTGGATATTCTAGAATTAACTATATACATTGTTTTTCATTATCAATCCATAGTTATACAAATTGAACACTTAATAGTTCTTAAACTACAAAAAAATTGAAAATTGTCGAGATTTTAATTAATTTTGACTAAAAAAAAATGTATATGGATTTATAGTAAACTTGGTTTTTTTAAAATTTGATTATACGTACAACAATTTATGCAGATATGTATTATATTTTAAATGACTTCGACAATAATGTAAAAAAAAAAAAAAATTGAAAATGTATAAACCATGTATAATCGTTTTAAGTTCAAATCTTTACAAAATGCGGCAAATCACCTAAATTGAAGCTAAAAGTGCAGTAAGTATTTAATTTTTGTACCTTGGGTTTGTAAATATAGAACAAGATTCATTATATGTTTTTTTATTGGAATAAAGTACTTACAGCAATAAACTATACACTGCAGTTTGTACGATATTGAATATTCAATTTTATACCTAATAATGATTTACTCGAGAGTGTTTTTTGTTATTTTGATGTTCAAAAAAAAAAACCGTAGAAACTTGAAAAATTCCAATATTTCTTAAATAATCATTTTCTATACACAAAAATATTATTCACGTCATTTATACGGTATGTCAGTATTACTTATAAAAATAATTATTTTAACATAATTTATGAGATGGTTTTGAAAAATTAGTTTAACCTACTGTATTTTTTATAGATTAATACCCGCAAGGGTATCACACAATGCAACAGGGACAGATCCAGGGAGGAGGCCTAGGGGCTTAGCCCCCTCCAGACATATTATTTCTCAAATTTTTTTATTATTCTACAGGTGCTGATATTACTATATTTCAAATTATATGTGTGCCTGTTAATGTAATATAATATTATTATACGTATTGTTCTGGGGTGCACAAACTAAGATAGAAGTTACTAACTTAGTTCATGTGAGACAGGGATTCAAATATTGTAATTTTACATAAACAAAAAATTGTATCCTCCCCCCCCCCCAGATCGTTGCTTCGGATCCGTGCCTGCAGTGTAAGTTATTGTTATATACATTAATATATATTCAAAGCAATTAATATACCTACAAATATTTATGTAATGCATTGTTTTTTATTATTAATAGAAAAAAATAAATTATTAATATTAATATGAATAAAAAAAAATAAAAATAGATGAATAGAGTATGGCGCGCCACATCATAATCCATTAGATACAGCGAATTCCGAATTACTCAATGACGAGCAGGTATATTTTCACTTACAGCAGAACGACTTTCACTGTTTTTTAAAAAAAAAATATTTTGATGAAATACACTATCACATAACTATTGTAATTTAAAGATCACCTAAATTTTTTCTTAAAAATGTAAATTTTTTTCATACCTAAATCGGAAATACCCGTAGGTACATAAATATTATAACTACTCAGCTTAGGAGTGAAGATCGTTTTGCAAACGTATATCGATTAATCGTATTTTTTAAGTGTATAATGAAAATGTATAATATGTTCCCAAATTCTGTTAAATTACTGGATCGCAAAGAGGTGCAAATTTCAAAAAATCTCTATGTATATCTCGATCGCATTTTTCCTCATATCTATATGCGGCCATATATTATTTTTATGGTCTCATATACGGTCATTGTATTTGACTAATATTTACCGAAATATATTTTAGCATACTTAAGTTTAATTTTTACAAATAATTTTACCTTGGGGTGAAATGAAAAATGGTTCTGCAATAGCATTTTTGTGCATGTAGTGTGCTGGATATGATAAATACGCGGATGCCACCGTTGATGGTAACATTGGAAAGCATTCTTGACTTTGTGGCAATTGATGATTTCGACTTCTTTCGTGACTAGTAACCTGGAACTGTTTTAAATTTTGTATTTTAAAACTACGAATTTAGCAGATGTAAAAGGAACCTGTATAGTTTTATTTTACTATTCACGCAAAATCAGTTTTTATGGTTTTTAAGTAATTTTAAGTGATATCATATATTATGTTTTATCATTCAAAAACTATAGAGGTTAATATGTTTGATTGTTTGAAGTATCATTTTGTCTGAATATTGTCTCAAAAATATTTAATTTCCATTACATTTTACTATTTTTTTTAATTTTTCAAATAGAATGTAAAGTCAATTAATGAATAAAATACGAAATCGATATGTCAACCTCTGAAAAGTACTATTCTCTGTAATCACTGTAATGTATCATTTTTCTCTAAGATTCGGTACTCAAAAACAATATTAAGGATTTAGCGTGAATGCGTTTTGTCTAAGTTGCGTGTGGGTCCGAGAGAAAAAATAAATGGTGCTTGTGTACCCCTTAACTAAAGAATTATGTAAAATATGTTAATCTTCAAAGATATAATAGTTTTAATCATTTTTAGATACACATTTAATAAGTTAAAAGCTCAAAACAAATGTATACACCCAATTTAAAGCTTGTATTTTATATTTGAATTAAAAATGCAATTATAATCAGTGATTAATTTTGTTTGAATATATTTTTATAAGTTATAAAACATATTTAAAGTTATTATTATATTATGTTTATACATATAAATAAAATGGACAAATAGGTATAATGAATCTAATGAAGCTCGTGATACTTAATTATAGTTACAATCTTTATAAACCAAAATCATCGGCGAATCATAGATTTTTTAGGCGAGGTATTTTAGTTAAATATATTATCTACAACTAGTTAACCTAACAATTTAACCATTTTTCATTGACTACTAAGAATAGAAAATAATCCCTCAAAGAATTTGTTTCAAAAGTTTTTTAATAAAAGAGAAAATTATTTTTGTTTCATCATATAACATATCATAAATTATTTTTAACAACTCATAAAATATTATATCATTAATTATAATTATAAAAATTGAATATATATAATACCACTTAATTATCATAATTATTATGAATGGCTCAATCCAAGTTTTACTAGTTATTTTAATATCAATTAAAAACAATTACTTTATTGTATAGTAGGTATTTCATTTATTTATACTTTTAAATTATAATTATTTATACACTGTCGTAATCAGGGATTCCCGTGGAGGATTAGCTGAAGAGACACAATATACTAAAAGTGTCAATACAAGCTACCACTAAAACTTCCTTTGATAATTTAGAATTTTTACCTATCAATAATAAAGTAATAACTATCCTTAAATATATTATAATACACAGATTTCATAGTATAAAACCCATACAACTGTAATGTACCTATTATTTAATACATTTTAGGAACTTATAATTTTTTTTTATTAGTTAGGTAATAAAATAAATATTATAATATAGTATAATACATTATTGTATTATTATATTTAATATTAGGTACCTATCATGGATTATGGTCAAAATAAATCATGTTTTGTATTAAGTATACACTCATCACAATTAGTATTTTATGAAATTCAACTTAAAATTTGCTGACACCTACCTATATTAGACATTAGTTAATAATATATTAGTTATTGTATACTTAGGTAAGGTGGTGAGTATGAAGGAAATGTTTTATTACATTTTCATTTATATTTTTGTGCATAGTTTTTTATTACAGAGTTTGAATCATCAGGATGTTAAAATTAAAAATGTATATTTCGAATATATTTGCATATTCAGATAAATGTATTTTACAATTTATTATAATAAATTATTAAATCAGTTTCAGATGGATAGTATGTAGTTATGTTCAGTATTTTGCTAGTACCATAGAAATTAACCAAGAATAGGAGTATAATTATTTGAAATCTGAATTGTATATTTTGTTAAGGGGTGCAATCAACAGGGCGTTACTGCAGGTTGTGGTTTTAAAATATTATTGACTTAGTATCATTAGCCATCTCATTCTGAAATATTTAAAATTAAATTTCAAATTTCTATAAGTACTATAAATTACTATAGTTTTATAAAATGATCAAACTGTTTTTCTTTATCGTACAACTACTGTACAAGTGTGTAGCATGCAGATGCATAGAAGATATTTTAAATATTAATTTAGAATTAAAATAATATTCTATATTACTTTAGTTGGTTCATTGTATAGGTAAGATGAAAAATATTATGCATTCTATATTAACTTATAATTTATGTAACAACTGTAGGTAAGTACAGTTTATATTTATTTAAATGTTTAATAATGATAAAATACCTCCGAATTCGGTCTGTTGTTTTTTGATCTGAATAATATGTCCTCGATTAAAAATGACGTGGAGTGTCCGGGAGACGATTTTCTCTGGTTTTCTGGCATTTTATTTCGCTTGATTACTTAAACTATGTAATAAACGACGTCGCGTTTCCTAGAAGCTTGACGGGCAAATTGTTCGCGATTTACTACACCAAAACCCGTAAACGCGCAGGCATTATGTGTTATTTAGTCACCCCCAAAAGACCGTCCCTACGACGCCTCCCATTGGCTGCATTGATCGGCGCCAGCCCTTTCGCATTGGCTTGGTGGTAGCCATACTGGAACCCTTCATCCTGGCTGTTCCAGGAGGGAAAACGGAGATTTAAGTGTTATATACTAAACAAGTTAGGATTGTCAGCAATTAGTCGGTAAACGGGTGGGCTGGCTTTGTGAGGGGAGGGTGTTCAAAAAGCTTCTTCTCGTTATGAGATTCCCAGTAAAAATGTTTAAAGCCATAATACATAAAAAAAAAAAAATACTGAATAATTGAGAATTCACCGTAGGTACCTACGCAATATTTACGTTCAGCTATAACCTACCTATAAGTTATTATTGAAAATTATAGTATCAAAATACTTGATATAATTGTATTAGTAGTTTTATGTTAAAATAAATAAATTGCAATTTATAAAAAAGCTATTATAGAGTTTAAAATTTAAAATTTTCATTAGTTATTAATTATTAGCTATTATATTGTTATGACAAACTGCATAACGTGATTGTTTTTGGATACAAAATAGTTAATAGTACTTAATACTATTTAGTTATATTCTTATCGCACAAAGAATTAAGTTTAAACAATATTTGAACACAAACCACGAATAAGATATATAAATATTAATATATATATATAAATATTTAAAACAAAAGCAAGCCCGGGTTAAAAATCCGTCAAGTCCCGATACATAGGACTATATCTTATCGTAGGGCACTCCCGGCTTTCAAACTTAAACCCTCGTCCTCACTTCTGAAAAAAAATTGATGAATACTTTGCTTACAGTTGTACACTTGCACCTATAATCTATATAGTTTTAACACTTAAAAATAACATAATTAATAAGAATATCAATATAAGTATGTAATGACTATAGTTTTTATTATACAAATATTTAAAAACCATTAAACCAATAACAAGTTAGCTTTTAATTCGTCATAATAAAAATGAAACACATAATATATACTTTTATTCACAACTTACATTTTCACTAATTCACAAACATATTGTAATATTTAAATGTTGTTAGCAAATATCAATTTATTACGAATTCATCATTTAATAGGGAATCTTTCATAATACAGACATTTATGTTTTATTTTTTGATTCAATTTTGAATATGTGCATTAAAAAAAAATGTGAATAGAAATGAGCACATTAAATCTATGGTCCCTGGCCCCAAAAATCATGCCACCCTTAATCCGAAATTGAACAAAAGTCTTATGTTCGATATTGATATTATAATATACTTATTCGAAATCTAGTGGACAAACATTTTAAATATTAATTTAAATAAAACATTATGGTGATTATAATATTATTTTCAATGACACAGTATTCATTGTATTTGTTAAAATCAAATTAATTTTGTCATGAATATTTATTAAGAGGACGCTACAACTAACTGCATAACAATTACAACTTACAAAACGTTACAAACGTACAGCAAAGCAAATTTGTGTTCAGTAAAACCGATTTTGTGATATTATCTTTAATATTAGAATTGACATACTATCAAACTTAAAGGTAAGAAAATTATCTATTATCCTTCGTCAGTGTTTTTTTTACAATGTTAACATTTTTAAGTAAGAAATGAGTATATTGTAGGATACTGAAACATAGAAATGCTCATATAACTTGCTTCAACATTTTAGCATCGTAAAAAAACTGACGCGAGATAACATAGATAATGTACTTATAAGAACCTCAAACCTTAGTATACCTTTACGATTAATTATAGGTTAATTCACTTTAATATTAGAGGTAACCACAAGAAATCGGTTCTATTGAACGCAAATTTGTTGTTATGTGCTTATAAGATAGAGGCAATATAATATTTTGCGGCATTCTCTCAAGTTTTCTTATAGGTATTCAGAGAATTACTTAAAGTGAATCTTTTTAATTACAGTTCTTTTGTTTTACATAACCTTATTTATAATTAGCTGATCCCGAGCATTCCGTTGCCCTTAAAAAGTGACAACTCTTAAAAAAATTGTGATTTGGTGTGTCCGATTAACCAATGGCAACTCATGGACAAAAATAAATAAATATTTTTTCTATTAATATTAATAACCTGCAGGCTGCAACTAATAGTAACCATTAATAAGCAAATAAAAAATTTCACCGCCAATCTCAAATTCATTGTTCAACCACTTCTAATTTATTAATTTAGTATATTATATGAATTTAAAGAATAATTAAAAGTTAATAAGTAAATGTATTAACAGTAGATATGGATACGATTATTACTACATATTATTAGGACTGTTGTAAAATTTACTACCCCCGATTTTGAACTTTAATCCTATATTTCACAACAAAAAGTAGCCTATGTCCTTTACTTAGGTCTAATCTATCTCTGTACCAAATTTCATCAAAATCGATTTAGCGGTTTCGCTGTGAAAGCCTACCAGACAGACTGAATTACTTTCGAATTTATAAATTAGTAAGGATGAGGATTATTCTAAAAGTAGGGCATTATTCATTTTGACTATAAATTATAATTTATTATGATAAATGGTATGGGTAACATATTATACAGTTCAGTTCAGCAATTTAAGAATCTATTTCACTACCTATACACGACTATATAGTAATATATATTAGGCCATTATTTATATGCAACTAATATGTGTATTGCATTGTAACTGTATAAATTATTTAATATTAAATACTCATTAGTAATTACTATAAACAGTATAAACAATTAAGCAATACAGATTTCGAGATTCTATCAACTATACCGTTTATGATTCATTTTTGTTAGCAAATATAGCTCTGCCTATATTTATGAGTGAAATACAGAAATACTATATAACCTATACGATTATTATCTATTATATCATATATCTATGTTTCAACTGAAATTTACTTAAAACTAGTTAAAACCGTTAAATATGTTCACATTATTAATTAATATTAATATACTTTCATGATACCCTGATTTATCATTTTTTTTTTAAATTGTGGCATTGTTGGATATTTTGATTTTAGTAATAGTTTCTATTTTTAATGTATTAATAAATTTTAAATTTCAAAGATTCACTTTATATTATAATTTTGTCTTATTTGGTCTTAAGTAGACATCACAATTATTATCATAATATTATTTATTACGAGGCGAGGCGTTATTAAAGTTAAAGTTAATTTCTGTTTACTATTTTATATTATAGGTGTACCAGATACCTACAACAACAATCTACTATCAAATTATACCACTATCAGAAAAATAGTTTTACAATATCCAAGTTTATTTCAAGTGTTTTTTATTTTAGATTCTGAGCGGAGAGATGAATGTATTGATTTACAATGATGTGTGTCTTTTTCTTGACATCATGGTTTGCGGCAGTAAAAGTGGTTCGATTTTCTTCAACAGCAGTTTTTCTGGTGGGAAAGTGAATCAATTTGGAGCTTTAAGCAGGTTAAATTTTAAAATTCCCAACAGTTTTCAAAAGTAACGGGAAAAACAAACAAAAAATTAAGGAAAAACGGGAATTTTTACTGAAAGCTGGTTTTTCAAAAATCGATTTTAGTTTTTTGTGTAACGCTAAAAAAATGACCATAGATACATAAAATTTTCACTGAATATTTGTGTTGGCATTTAGTATACATCACAAAATGTTAAAAAAAAATTGTGACTTCTTGAACTATTTATAGGCATATGAAATTTTCGATTATTGTTAGTTTTTTTCGATTATTGTCTGTAAAAAAATGTTAGATCGGTCAAAAAACTTGAAAATATTATTGTTTTTTACAAATTTTAGTTAGTGTATATTATGAAAAAAGTTGAGCGTAAGTCCGCAATAATTTTTTATGAGCGTCTGAATTTCAAATTTTGACAAAATACTAAAAATTACGAAAATTTGCAAATCATTTTGAGTTAGAAATTCATAAATATTTTTCTTTTCACATTTAAGATTTGAAAAATTACTACAAGATTCCTTATAAGGACCTTATCAAACCTTATTAACCTTTATCAAAAAAAATTCTTCCGGAAAGTCAAATTACATTTTTCATGAGCGTTTGAAGTTGAAATTATTACAACATTGGCTTCATTAGATTTCTCATGTAACGATTTACTTATTTTGGTGAAATTCAAACACGAATAACTATAGATACTTGAAATTTACACCTTTGTTATTTTATAAATTCATATATTCTATAACATTTTCAAAATATTTTGATTCGTTTTGAGCTGTTAATGGACATTTTCAATTTTCATTGTTTTTAGTTTTCTTTTCTATAAATGTCAATCAAGTTTTATTGGTTCAGTCAAAAAGCATGAAAGTCTAGTACAAGACTCTTGATATATTGTTGCAATATAAGTTGAAAATATTAAAATATATAGAGACGTTTTTGTTTTATAATCATTTAGAGTTCAAATTTTGATAAAATTTCTCAAATTGAAAATTGAAAAATGATTTTGTAGTTAAAAATGTACTAAATGTTCAACTTTTATAGCTTAAAATTGACAATTTAAAACAAGGTTCTACTTAAAGTAATTTATTCTGTAACCCAAAAATCTAAAAATAAACATTAACACTGCTTTTTTATAGTTATTTTAAGTTCAAGTTTAGACGAAATACATGTTTACAAAGAGTCAACAAATAACGGTTTTAGTCATTTTGTTATAATTCGGTTCCAAGGCAACCCAATATTACATAAGTATATATAATATTTTTCCTGCATCACTGATAATTTCAGAATAATAATATTATGAATAATATTAATTCAACTTACCGGCTACCGTATTGATAATAACTATTAAGTAATAACAATATAAAATATCCTAGACTGAAATACTGTCTCCGCTCAGAATCATTTTTCGAATACATATCATTGAATTAAAATTTAATACCATCCATTACAGAGACCTTCCGCACGGCTAATGTACATCATTAGCGACATCCACTTACCCGTTTTTTTTCATAATAAACTATTTTAATTACAATTGCAAATTTAAAATTTAATGAAACGCTTATAGGACCTATATAAAATAATTATTTCACACGAAATAAAACGTGTTCATTTAAAAAATAACTAATAATATAGGTACCTAACATTATCGTAACATTATCTTTGTATTTAGCTGCTCCAATTGCTGGGAACACCATCATGCAATGTGTGACGAGTAAAAAGGAAAACCACTACACGCATTATCCTTTCCTCTTCTAATTAA